TGTGTGGTGGGTTCGAAGTGCCTGAGGGCCTTCACAAGCCGTGTGTGTGTGGTGGGTTCCAAGGGCCTGAGGGCCCGCACAAGCCGCAGCAGCAGCAGCAGTCGCTGCGCTCCAACGAGCTTGAGCTTGATCTCATGGTACGTGCGTGTGTGGTGTAGTGGCTTCCCATCTCCTGCCTACAACTTCAGATTTTTGTTTCCAAATCGGTTTTTTTTTTTTGCAGGTGTTTTTTTAGAACCCGCTGCCTGCGTACAACTTACCAGGTGTTCGTGTTTTTTTTTTTTTTTTTTTCAATTCGCTAATCCCATTTCCCTCCCTACCCTCTTCCCCCTTCCCTCCCGCCCTCTTGGCCCCCCTGTCCTTCACCCCCCCCTTAAACCCTACCGAACAGTCCCCACCTGGCAACGGTCTCTCACTGCTGGTTCCGAGTTCAGAGCGGTTGGGAGCGGTGGACGAGGAGGAGACAGCGGAAGGGGAGAGCAAGGCGCATGTGCCGCGTGGCATGGTGAGTGTGTGGGGTGTGGTGTGTGTGGTGAGAGTGTGTTGCAGTGTGGTACGGTGTGGTGTGGTGGGGTGCAGGCTTGGGAGTGTGGCATGGTGAGTGTGTGTAGTGTGGTGGTGTGTGTGGTCTGTGTGGTGTGTGGTGGGCAGGCTTGAGGGAGTGTGTGCGATTTACAGTGCCGTATGGTGAGTCCTTGAGAATTCTCAAAAAACACACGCTCGAACATATCACCCTCCCACGTAAGGGAGTGTGTGCGATTTACAGTGCCGTATGGTGAGTCCTTCTCATCCTCCCCGTCCGCGTGTGATGAGTCAATTTTTTGAGTCGACTCAAACATTGATGTACAGTGCCGTATGATGAGTCCTTCTCACCCTCCCCGTCTTTTCATCTATCGCATCCGTTTATTTTATTTTTTCCCATCCTTGTCATGTCATCCTTTTCTTCTCCATCTCATCCTTCTCTTCCCCCGCTGTTTTTATTCCCCTTTTCCCTGTCTGATCCCTTCAGCCGCCACCAGCAGCAGGCGTTACACACAAGCACATGGGAGGGGGATTGGCAGGAGGAACAGGAGGAGGACGAGGAGGCGGATTAGGAGTAGGGTTGGGGGGCGAAACGCCCAAGGAAGGGGTGGGAGGGAGGGCGGAGGGGGAGCTTAATATGGAAGCTAGGCTTAGAAAAACTCCTTCCTTTAATAAAGGCGAGGAGGCTGTGGGATCCAGAAAGGGGTTTGATCTGATGCTGCTGAATGCAGAGGCAGAGAGAGGCAGGGAGAAGGAGAAGGAGACAAGGGAAAGGGATGGGCGGAAGGAGGCGGGGCGGGGGAAGGGGAGGGAGAAGGAGGAGAAGGACAAGGGGAGGGCGGAGAAGGGGAGGGAGAGGGGGAGAGGAGGGAGGGAGCAGGAGGTGCAGAGTAGGATGGAAGATGGGAAGGAGGAGAGGAAAGACGGGGGACTGCTGCAGAGATCTGGCAGTCAAAGAGGGGCGACAGCGAGGGGGGCGAAAGGAGACGCTAAGGGTGCGTCCAGGGATCGAGCTGCTGGTTCGTCTCCTGTGGTGGGGCCTATGTCCCCAGGAGCAGTAGGGTTGGGAGGTGCAGGTTTAGGGGTGGCAGGAGCGGCAGCAGGAAGCACGGTGGTTGGAGCAGCAGGGGCGGCTTTGAGCCAGTCTGCTCCAGAAGCAGCAGCAGCAGCTGCTGCTGCAGCCGCAGCAGGAGGAGCAGGAACAGGAGGAGGAGCAGCAGGGGCAGCACCAGGCATCCAGCACCCCCCAGGGGCACCCTCCCGCGCAGGAGCCCCCCCAGTGCCCATAATGCCCGCAGGCTTCCCCCCTCCGCCCGCCCACCTTGCCCCCATGCACCACACTCCCCCCGGCATGCCCCACAATCCCCCTGGGATGCCCCCTTCCGGGGCACCCCCACACGGAGCAGCAGCAGCAGCAGCAGCCGCAGCGGCAGCAGCAGCAGCTGCTGCTGCGTCCATGCCTTTGCCGTTAGGGCTGGGAGGGTGGCCGATTCCTGGGATTGGGTTTTTCCCGCAGGCTGCTGCTGCAGCAGCGGCGGCTGCAGCTGCTGCTGGGTGGCCTCCTCCCTCTGCTGGAGGCCCCTCCTCGCTCCCCTCCTCTCTCCCCTCCTCTCTCGCCTCGTCTCTCCCCTCGTCGCTTCCCTCGTCTCTCCCCTCTTCCCTCCCTGCCTCCCTGTCACATACAGGGCCGTCGCTGCTGCAGCATGCTGGAGTGGCATCACTGGCGCATGCAGGGAGGGACGATGGGGTCTCCTCACCTGCTCCTCCTGGCCATGTAAGTTACTATGGCTCCCTTCCCCAGTTGTGAGTTAGGGGTAGGGTTAGGGTTCAGGGTTAGGGTTTAGAGTCGCACTGTCAGTGCTCCAGCATGCTGGAGTGGCGTCACTGGCACATGCAGGGAGGGACGATGGGGTCTCCTCACCTGCTCCTCCTGGCCATGTAAGTCACTGTGGCTCCCTTCCCAGTTGTGAATCGAACAGGAGTTCATAAGGGGTTAGGGTTCAGGGTTAGGGTTTAGAGTCGCACTGTCAGTGCTCCAGCATGCTGGAGTGGCGTTACTGGCACATGCAGCAAGAGGGGATGACTTCTCGTCCCCTGCAGCCATGCTGCTGTGAGCGCCGTTCCTGGTCACGTAGGTTGGCTGCTTTCCCTTGCAGGTGGTAATCAGCTGTCTGTGAGTGGTGATTCTCTTTCCCAGTTGTGAGTCACACTTCAGCCGCTGTGAGACACACTCGGGTTCATCACATCACTGCTGCATCATGCCCTTTCTCCCTTGCTGGCCCCGCTCATGCTCCCCCTCCCCCCACTCTTCCCCCACCCCCTACACCCCCTCTCTCCCCCACACCCATCCCCCGCTCCGCTTCTCGCTCCTCTCGCCCTCCAGCCATCGCAGCACACGCTGCCTCAACCGCCCCCAGGCTTACTCCCTCTGCCTTCGCAGCAGCAGCAGCAGCTGCACGGGCGGCGGCCGTGGAAACGTTGTGCCCTGCACGTCTACATCGCCCACTTCATAGAGTTCAACCGGCATGTAGCACGGCAGCAGCAGCAGCAACAGCAACAGCAGCAGCAGCAACAACAACAGCAACAGCAGCAGCAGCAGCAGCATCACCACCACCCGTTCTACCCCCCCCATTTCAGCAATTATGCGGCAGCAGCGGCGGCCGCAGCGGCAGCTGCGGTAGCAGCTTCAAAGCAGCAACCCCCATATGGGATGACCATGCCGGGGCATATTCCTGGGGCGCCTCCCTTTGGCTTGCAAGCAGGTGGGGCAGCAGGCGGAGCAGCAAGTGCAGCGGCAGCAGCAGGTGCAGCGGCTGCGGCAGCAGCAGCAGCAGCGGGGGCGGCAGGCGGGGCAGCAGGCACAGGTATGGCCCAATCGCCCCTGCCGTCCTCTCTCCCTGTTCCTCTCTCAGCCCCCCCGGCAGACTCTGCTGCGGCTGCTGCTGCTGCTGCTGCAGCTTCGGTAGCTGCAGCTTCGACGGCGGCAGCGTCGGCAGCCGCATCCGCACCCGGGGCAGCAGGTTCGGCGCCTGGAGCTTCTCCGAGCCTGCCACACGGTTTGGGAACGGGTGCAGGCGGGGCAGGGGCAGGGGGAGGAGCAGGGGGATGTGTAGGGAAGGATAAGGCGGTTACTGCTGGAGGCGCAATTGCTGCTGCTGCTGCTGCTGCTGCTTCTGCTTCTGCTAGCGGCAATCTTACAGCAGGAGGGAAGCATCAAAACCTGCAGCATTCTCAGCAGCAGCAGCAGCAACAGCAACAGCAGCAGCAACAGCAGCGGCATCATCCGCAGCAGCAGCACCCACAACAACAGCAGCACCAACAGCAACAGCAGCACCAACAGCAACAGCATCACCAACAGCAACAGCAACAGCAACAGCAACAGCAACAGCAACAGCAACAGCAACAGCAGCAACAGCAGCGGCATCATCAGCAGCAGCAGCACCCACAGCAACAGCAGCAGCAGCAGCAGCAACAGCAGTCACAACAACAACAACAGCAGCACCAACAGCAACAGCAACAGCAACATCAACAGCAACAGCAACAGCAACAGCAGCAGCAACAGCAACAGCAACAGCAACAGCAACAGCAACAGCAACAGCAGCAGCAGCTGCAGAAACAGCAGCAACAACAGCAGCAACAGCAACAACAGCAGAAACAGCAGCAACAACAACCCCACCAGCAACAACAGCAGACGCAGCAACCGAAGCAGCTGTCGCAGCAGCAGAAGCAGCAACAGCAGCAGCAAGTCTCAGGTCCAGCCCAGGCTGGCCTACAAGCAGGCGCTGCTGCTGCTGCTGCTGCTGCAAGTGGCACAGCTGCTGCCGGCCCCACAGGCGTTGCAGCTGGATTGAGGCACGCAGCACCAACATCAGCATCAGCCCAGCAGGCAGATGCAGCAGGAGCTTCTGCTGCTGCTACAGCTGCTACAGCTGCTGCGACTGCTGCTGCTGCTGCTGCCGCTGCTACAGCAGCTAGTACTGCTACTGCTGCTACAGCTGTCACAAGACCAGCTGGTCCGATTCCTGCTCTCTCTCCCATGTCGTTGCCTTTGCCTGCCTCTCCTGCCATACTTCCTGCCGGACCTGCTGCCGGACCTGCGCCCGGGCCAGTTCTCAGGGCTCCTGTGCCTGGTGCCAGACCTGTTCCAGGCTCGGAAGGAGGAGAGAAAAATGGCGTGGGCAGAGGGGTGAGTGGGCAGGTGGCAGGTATGGTTGGTGCTTCAGGTTCGGCAACACCTTCGGCTATGGCAAGTGCCACTACACCTGCTACAGCTGCTGCTGCTACAGTTGGTGCTATGACCAGTGCTGCTGCCGGTGCTGCTACAACCAGTGCGGTGACAGGCGGTGCTGTGGGTGTAACAACAGGTGCAACAGGAGCAGCAGCAGGAGCCGCAGGGGTAGCAGCAGGAGGAGGAGCAGCAGCAAAACCACAAGTGCTGCAAGGGCAGGCCGTGAAGCTAGGTTCCGCAAACCAGTCAATGATGGCTCAGCACGGGCAGGTTTCCGGGCAGGTTCAGGGGCAACTGAAGGCACTAGGAGCAGCAGGAAACGCACCAGTAGGAGGGCCGTCAGCAGTAGGGAAAGCTGTGGAAGGGACGGTGGGGCGAGAGGAGGCTGTCGGGAACCATGTGGGGGGGGCGGTCTCCCCTGCTGTACCAGCAGCAGCAGCAACGGCAGCACTAGGGAAGGCACTTGCGCAGGGGCAGAATCAGGTTCAGGCACAGGGGCAGGGGCAGAATCAGGGGCAGGGGCAGAATCAGGGGCAGATGGCGCATGTGCAACGAGTGGCAGGTGCTCCGGTTCAGAGCGGTGCTGTAGGGGGGCCGTCCACCCACCTGAGAAGACCTGGGCTTTTCCCCGCAGGGGTGGTTCAGGCAGGGGCGGCGCAGACAGGGGCGACACATGCAGGGGCGGCACAGGCAGGGGCGGCACAGGCAGGGGCGGCACAGGCAGGGGCGGCACAGGCAGGGGTGGCACTGGCAGGGGTGGCACTGGCAGGGGTGGCACTGGCAGGGGTAGGGCAAGGGGTTGGGCAAGCAACTGCAGGGCAGGTGAGAATGGGACAGGCAGGGGCAGTGGCACGAGGGTCTGGACAGGCAGGGGTGGGGCAAGCAGGGGTGGTGCATCCAGGGGCGGTGCCAGCAGGGGCAGTGCCTGCAGGGGCGGCTCAAGCAGGGGCGGTGGCAGCAGGGGCGGTTCAACCAGGGGCGGTGCCAGCAGTTGTTATCCAGAGGCCAGGAGGGCAGGGATTGGGGATGGGGCTACCAGGTGCGGTGCTGCCAGGGAATGCGGGGCAGCACAAGGGGAGTACTCTATTACCACCTCTGTTGTTACCACAGCAGCAGCTGGGGCAGCAGCAGCAGCAGCAGCTAAATGTCCTTCCACGTGTGGCTGCTGGATCGCCATCGCCTCCGCTGCCACTGCCACTGCCACAGCAGCAGCAGCAGCAGCAGTTGGGCCAGCAGCAGCGGCAGCAGCAGCAGCAGTTGGGCCAGCAGCAGCAGCAGCAGCAGCAGCAGCAGCAGCAGCAGCAGCAGCAGCAGCAGCAGCAGCAGCAGCAGCAGAAGGGGAATGTCCTTCCACGTGTAACCGGTGCCTCACCATCTCCACCGCTGCCACAGCAGCAGCTGCAGCAGCAGCAGGGGCAGCTGGGGCAGCAGCAGCATGTTGGGATGCAGCAGAGACCTGTGTTGCTACCACGGCTGCCACAGCCGCAGCAGCAGCAGCAGCAGGTGAAGCCAACACATTTAGCGCCACATAAAGTGCTACTGCCAAAGCTGCAGCAACAATCCCAGCAGTCTCTACTGAACCAGCAGCAGCAACAGCCCCTGCAGCAGCAGCAGCAGCAGGTGAGGGAGGGGCAGGAGCCAGCGCAGAAGAGAATGAGAACGGAGAAGGAGCAGGTGCAGGGGGTAGCAACAGCAGGGCAGGCAGGCACTGTGGGGGCAGGCAGTGGTGCAGGGGCAGGGAACGCTAACGGGGCTGGTGCTGCTGTTGCTCCTGGTTTGAAGCCGCAAGGAGGGCAGATGCAGCCGGGACAGGTGGTATCAGGGCAAATGCTACCAGGACAGGTGCTACCAGGGCAGGTGCTACCTGGGCCGGTACCGCTGGCCCAGGTGCAGCCGGGGCAGGTACAACTCCAGCCCAGGCAGGTGCCCCCGGGACAGGTGCAGGCAGGGCAGGTGCAGCTGGGGCAGGTGCCACCTGTTGCAGCAGCACCTGTTGTGGCACCTGTTGCAGCAGCACCTGTTGTGGCACCTGTTGCAGCAGCAGCAGCGTCCGTGGCACCAACACCGGCAGCAGCAGCAGCAGCAGCAGCAGCATCTGTGTCAAATCCTGTTGCACCACCGCCTGTTCCACTAGGGGCGCAGGGGCAGGCGCAGGGGCATGGGCATGGGCCTGCTGAGAAGGTGGTATTTGGGCAGGTGCTTCCAAGGCAGGTGCTTCCAGGGCAGGTGCCACCTGGCAAGGAGCCGGCAGTTTCCATTACAAACCTAGGGAGCAATGCAGCAAAGGCCACAGAGCAGCAGCAGCAGCAGCAGCAGCAGCAGCAGCAGCAGCAGCAGCAGTTACAGCAGCAGCATGGTAAAGGTGTGCCTGTGCCTCCAGCACCACTCACGTGTGCTATCAAGGGAAGTCCTGTTCCTGTTCCCTCTGCACAGGCGTCTGCTGCTAAGGTTGCTCCTGTGCTTGTTCCGTCTGCACCCGAATCCGCTCCGAAGGTTGCTCCCCTGCTTGCTCCCGCCTCAGCACACGAATCTGACGTCAAAGTGGCTCCTCTGCTTGTGCCTCTCCCCCCTGCCCAAGCCCCCCCACTGAGGCCGCGCACTCCTGTTCCCCCAACCCCTGTTCCCCCCGCTCCACTCCCCCCCACCCCCGTTCCCCCCACCCCAGTTCCCCCCACCTCCGTTCCCCCTATCCCCGTTTCCCCCGCCTCCGTTCCCCCCACCCCTGTTTCGCCAGTTCCAGCTTCCCTCATTCCTGTTCCCCCCAACCCCGTCCCCACCACTGCTGCTCCCCCTACTCCCGTTCCCTTGACTGCTGCCGCTCCCCCTACCTCTGTTTCGCCCACCACTGCTCCCTCTCCTGCTGCTCCCTCTACCGCTCCTGCTGCAGTGCCTGCTGCAACGTCTGTAGCGGCTGCTGTAGCGCATGTAGCTTCGGCAACACCTGTAGCGCCTGTAGCTTTGGCAGCACCTGTAGCGCCTGTAGCTTCGGCAGCACCTGTAGCGCCTGTAGCTTTGGCAGCACCTGTAGTGCCACCTGTAGCGCCTGTAGCTTCTGGGACACCTGTAGCGCCTGCCATATCGCCTGCAGTGGCTGCTGCAGCGGCTGAAGCGCCTGCTGCAACTGCTGTAGCGCCTCCTGTAGCACCTGCTGTAGCGCCTGATGTAGCATCTGTAGCACCTGTAGCGCCTGCTGTAGTCCCTGTGGCACCTGTACCACCTGGTGCAACGTCTGTAGCGGCTGCTGCAGCTCCTGTAGCGCCTGTAGCACCTGTCGCGTCTGCTGTAACGTCTCTAGCGCCTGCTGTAACGTCTCTAGCGCCTGCTGTAACGTCTCTAGCGCCTGCTGTAGCACCTGTGGTAAGGCCTCAAGAACCTGCTGCAACGTCTGTAGCACCTGTAGCGCCTGCAGTGGCTGCTGTAGCGACTGTAGCACCTGCCGGAATGCCAGTTGCGCCGTTGCCGCAGGCAGCGCCTCCATCTGTAGCGCCTGTGGTAATGCCTGCTGTTGCGCCTGCTGTTGCGCCTGCTGTAGCGCCTTCCGTACCGACTACGTTAGTTCCTGCTGAACCTGCTGTAGCGCCTGTGGTAATGCCTGCTGTAGCACCTGCTGTAACGCCTGCCGTACCACCTGCGGTAATGCGTGCTACAACACCTGCTGTAGCGCCTGGTGCAGCACCTGCGGTAACACCTGCTGCAGTGGAAGCAACTGCTGTACCCCCTGTAGCGATTGTAACGCCTGCTCCCTCTGATGTTAAAGGAGAGTCAGCAGCAGCGCCAGGAGCAACGAGTGTAGCAGCAGCAACAGCAGCAGTTGCAGCAGGAGCAAAAGCAGCAGCAACAGCAGCAGCAGCAGTTGCAACAGCAGCAAAAGCAGCAGCAGCAAAAGCAGCAGCAGCAGCAACAGCAACAGCGGCAGTGGCAGCAGGGACAGCACCACCAGAGCCTGCGGCTGCTGCCACAGCGACTGCTGCTGCGGAAACAGCAGCTGAAGAGGCAGCTTCTCGAGAAGGAGCTTTGCCAGCAGCAACGGTACCAGCAGCAACGGTATCAGCAGCACCAGAACGAGCAGCAGCAGCACCTACATTTGCAGCAGCACCACCACCAGCAGCAGCGCCATCAGCAGCGCTGTCAGTACCAGCAGTGGTACCAACAGCACCAGAACAAGCAGCAGCAGCACCACCAGCAACAGCAGCACGATCAGCGGCACCAGAGCGAGCAGCCAGAACGACCCTTCCAGTTGCAGCAACTCCACCAGTGGTAGCAGCAGTAGCGGGAACTGAAGCAACCACACCCACAGTCACACCGCTTACAGTCACAAACACAACTGGAACCACACCCACCATTGTGACACCCATGGTGACACCAACAGTGATGCCTACATTGACACCTACAGTGCCACCCACAGCCATAGTGACACCCACAGTTACACCCGTGGTGACACCCGAAGTGACACTAACAGTGACACCCGCAGCCATAATAGCTCCCACGGTGACACCTGTGGTGACACCCGTGGTGACACCCACAGCCACAGCAAAGCAATATGTTGATACACCAGCAGCACCCAGTCCCAGGGGGACAGGTGAGCAGATCAAAAGGGTGGAGGGAGAGAAAAAGGGAGTGGAGGGAGAGAAAAAGGGAGTGGAGGGAGAGAAAAAGGGAGTGGAGGGGGAGAAAAAGGGAGAGGAGGGAGAGAAAAGGGGAGTGGAGGGGGAGAAACAGGGAGAGGAAAAGGGAGGGGAGAAAGGGAAGGTTGGGGAGGGACGGGTGCAGACAAAAATGAAAGGGGCGGAGGGAGGGGTGGCAGGGGGGGCGTTGTTACCAGCAGCAGCTGCACCCACAGCTACAAGCGCAGCAATCACAGCAACAGCCAGTCCCAGTGGAGCAAGTGTGCAGGGCAAAGGGGTGGAGGGAGGGGCGTTGGAAGGAACAGCATCTGTACCCACAGCGAGAAGCACAGCAATCACAGCAACACCCGGTCCCAGTGGAGCAAGTGTGCAGAGCAAAGGGGTGGAGGGAGGGGTTGCAGGAGGGGCATTGGAAGGAGTGTCAACAACACCCACAGCAGCAGCAGAAGCACCAGCCAAGACCCCACAACTCCCTGTTGAGCCAGCCGCATGTGCCCCGGTTGCAACTCAAGCTGCAGTTGTACCTCCCCCAGTCGCACCTGCTTCTGCTGTAGCACCCTCCTCATCTGCCCCAGTCACCACGCAAGCTGCAGTTGTACCTACCCCAGTTGTGCCTGCTTCCGCTGTAGCACCCTCCTCAGGTGTACCTGCTCCAGTTGCAGCCTCCCAAGTCTTTCCGAAGCCAGCCGCGCCTGTCCCAATCACCCCGCAAGGCGCAGTTGTACCTCCCCCAGTTGCACCTGCTTCCGCTGTAGCGCCCTCTTCCGATGTACCCTCTCCAGTTGCAGCCTCCCAAGTCAAGCCACCTTCAGTTGATCCTGCTGTGCCGGCTACAACTGCAGCTGCTACATCTGCAGCTGCTACAGCTGTTGCTACAACTGCCTCAGTAGCTGCACCCGCCGCTGCTACAGCTGCAGCTGCGCCTGCTGCTACTATACCTGCACCTGCAGCTGCTGCACCTGCACTTGATGCTGCAACAGCTGAGCCTGTTGGTGCTACAGCTGCGCCTGATATAGTCACACCTGGGACAGTAACGCCCGCAACAGTCACAGCTGCACTTACTTCAAATACTGCTGCTACAGATGCGCCTGTATCAGTGACTGCTGCTGCATTGCATGCAGTGGAAGCAGCAGCAGAGGAAGAGAGGAAGGGCGGGGAGGGAGAAAAGAAGGATGGGGAAGGAGAGAAGAAGGGAGGGGAGGAAGAAAAGAGGGACTGGGAGGGAGAGAAGAAGGAAGGAGAGAAGAAGGGGGGGAAGGGAGAGAAGAAGGGAGGGGAGGGAGAGAAGCAGGTGGCAGAAGGGGCAGCACCAATAGCAGCTGAAGTGACAGCGCCAGCACCAGCACTAGCGGCAGCACCACCAGCGGCAGCACTGGTGGCAGCACCACCACCAGCAGCAGCAGCACTAGCGGCAGCACTACCAGCAGAAGCACCAGCCTCAGCAGCAGCAGCAGCAGCACCAGCGGCAGCACCGGTGGCAGCACCAACGACAGTGGCAACACCAGTGGCAGCAGCAGCAGCAGCAGCAGCAGCAGCAGCAGCAGCAGCAGCAGCAGCAGCAACAATACTAGTGGCAGCACCAGCAGCAACACCAGTAGCAGCACCAGCGGCAGCAGCTGGAGAAATTAAGCAGCATGGCTTGGGAGTAGGAACAGGGACAGCCTCAGGAGTAGCAGCAGGGGAAAAGGAGGGAAGGGCCAAGGAGGAACTCGAGAGAATGGATGTAGATGGGGAAAACGCGGATGGGGAGAGGGGGAATGGGAAGAAGGGGGATGGGGATGGGAATAAGAATGGTGGCGAGAGGAAGGGTATAGATGGGGAAGGGCCGGGGGCAGCACACGGGGTGGTTAGTGGAAGGGTGGAGGGTGGTAAAGCGAGTGCTGAAGGGCGGGTGGACATGCGGCAGGAGAGTTAGGGTGTGGTGGGTACTGTGCATGCTGATTCGAGCCCTGCTGAGAAAGGTTCTGCAACATAAGGACGATTAACAGCTAGATGGGTAAGGAGGGCAGGCGGACATGCGGCATGACGAGAGCTAGGGTGTGCCGGGTAACGTGCATCTTGGTTCGATGCCTGCTGGGGCGGATTTTGCGAGATAAGGGACGGATTCAGCAGCTAGCTGTAGGGAAATCGAGCTTGTAAATAGGGCTGCAGCAGCACCAGCAGCAGGCAGCATATGCAGGAGCGCCTGTAGACTTTCCTGTAGCAGAAGCAGCTGTAGCAGGAGCAGCTGTAGCAGCAGTATGCAGCAAAGTATAAGGAATGTGATCTAGTATCGATGGTAATAGCAGTAGCGGTAGCTGGTGGCGAGGAGAAAAGGGTTGGAGCATAGTTGGAGGGTAGTGGCCGTTTAGCTATAGAAACAGGAGCGTGATTTTGAGGCGCCTCAATAATAGTACCCAGTGGACTCTGGAGCTGGGATTGAAATTTGATTAAGAGAAGGAGCCTGGAGCAGAGTGAAGTGAAGCAAGAGGTATGGATGGGTGCTTAGAGGTATTAATCAGTTTCTAAAGTACGAATTGAGTATCTTTTCCGTCCCTGTTTTTTTTTTCTTTCTTTTTCTTTCCCTCAAGCTCTCTCTGTGCCGTTGTTCAAGTATCGTTACTGTACTACACTGCCCTCCGTCTCCCCTTGCCTTCAGGGCTCCAATAGGACACGGGCGGAAAGGCATCACTTCACTGCAGTGCCAACACGAAAGAACCATTCGCCTTAAAAAGTCATCCATCGAGAATGGTGATGGGAGTATGTGGAGTGGATGGATGGGATGTATGGACTGGGAATAAGGCGCTGGTGTGAGAGAGTTCTTGTCTGGAGAGTGCTTATAGAGAATGTACTCTACTCCATGCTCGATAGAAGAGTGGTCGCTCTGCGGATTGGTTGGGAACGTGGTTGGTTGGCACACATTTTATGGCGTGTGTGTGTGCCTCTGATTTGGTTCGGCCGGCACGACGACAACCTTACCTGATTTGCTAACAATGCTGATATTCGTTGGTTCACTGACTTGCAGATTCGCTGCCTAGACTATACTGTCTCCTCGTATAAGAGGATACACTTAGGGTTGGTCACAGATTTAGTAGATGCTTTTGTTTTACTTAGCTAGCTAAGCCCTTCATTTCTCTTTGCTTGATCAATAAGTTTCAGCATAACTGCTGCGATGTGTTGTACGTGAGTGCAGAACAAGTACGTCACATTCTGTGCAACATCTTGCTTACGACGTGTTGCGACCCAAAGAGGTCGGCTCGACCAGGTCTGATTTCTCATTTCTAGGAAGGCTGCGTTGCGGATCTAGCCAACCAGCTTGACCCAACCGCGTCGGGTTGGGTCTGCCCGATCTGGGTCGACCTGGTCGGGCCAACCAGGTCGACCCGACCAGCTCAGCAAGATTGCGACGAGTTACCTAAGCTAGCGAATTTTATAATCTCGCTAAAAGTTCGCATTATCATCGTTTACGAATTGGAAATCCAGCGAGGCTAGTTTTGGAGTAACCGTTAGTTCAGCGAGTTTCTGACTCTCGTCACAGCTCGCCTAGCCTGCAGGGAAGCTAGAAATAAATTGCGCTGTAAGTGCTTGGAGGGTGTGCCGAAATTTCTCAGAGATTCTTTGAGGCCCCGGGCCGCGATGGTCACGTCGACCAGTTCAACCCAACCCAACCCAACCTTGTTGGGTCGCAACACGTCGTTAGTTCCTAAGGGCGTGTGTGGTTTTTGGCAAACTGTCTAAGTTCGATCTCAAACCGCTTTCACCGTGGCCAAACACCTCTTGATTGTATCCTACTGTGTAAAACCGCTATAAAAGTTCGAACTTTGGGAAGTTAGAAAAAAAATCACACACTGCCATGTAAATTCGTTACAAACAGTATTGACTACAATACATTAGCTATTAGAGATACACTCTTTTTTGTTCCTAACGTGGTTTTCGCATGGTCTAGTCCTCACCAACCGCCAATCGGCATTGCCCTCCTGGTACGCACCGCGAATTCCAACTCATATTCCAGCTCCGCTTCCGCCGCCGCATTAACCGCTGCCTCTCTCCAGCCCGCATTTCCCAGACTTGCCACCTCATTATCGTCCTCCTCACCTCCTCCATCGTATCGTGTCATATGGCTAGTAGTGCTATCTTTTTCCTCATCGTGTAAAGCCCCATCTTCTCCCCAGAATACGTGTACGGGACGCACGTGCTCTTGCTCCTCCTCCCCCTCCTCCTCTTCCTCATCTTCCTCTCCTGTCTCTTCTTCCACCCCCTGGCTTCCTGTATTTTTGTAGACAATCTCAATCCGTTTGTCATCAGACAATCTCAGTCTCCGTCTAATCTTCGTCAAAGAAGTGGATGGAGATGACGGACGGAAACGGACTGGAAACTCTTGCTGGTGCACGCGGACGAGCTCTGCTGGCGAAATTTCGTCAAGCTCCGTCAAGGGAATCCCGTTCACTTCCGTCAGTGGTGCAAGGACTCCGTCCGCCGACGTCAGAACAGCTTCGTGTTCTGTTAATTCCACAAGCGAGCCGTTATCTGCCCGGAAAACATGAAACGACCTGAAGAAACCAGCCGCTTGGCCCCGCTTTTCCGCCGCTACTCCCTGAAAAAGTATGCTTTCCCGCGCGTGTGGTGCACGTGTCTGGATGAGTGAAGCACGTGGCCGTGCAACTGGTGCACGTGGCTGAGCGACTGCTGCACGTGTCCGCACAGCCACTTCCTCGTAGTACAGCGCGTCTAGGTTGCCGACCACCATCAGGTCGCCGTCGCTGATTTCGGGTTCCTCCTGCAAAGAGCCGTCGGCTGCTCGAAACACGTGCAGCGGGGCCGCAAGCTCCCCGTTGCCGCCCTTCTCCGCCTCCACCCCCTCCCCCTCCTCCTCCTCCCCCTCCCCCTCTGCCTCTTCCCCCTCCCCCTCCGCCTCCATCCCCTCCCCCTCCGCCTCCATCCCCTCCACTTCGTTTTTCGCGAAGATGGAATGATCCAGATGATCTGGTAACGTATTCGTGGCAGGGGCCATGCCTTTCTTACTCCTCACCGCCGTTTCTTCTAGATATAGTGCGTCTGCTCTTATCGCGTCCTCCAGCCATGCGATATCTCCCGCGTCAGCATCCGCAGGGTCTGACGTGTCCACAAGCTCAAGATCCAGAATTTCCGGATCGCGTTTCTCGGGGATCTCGATGAGGTTTATGGCGAACGGAGCGCGAAAGACGTGAAACGGAGATACTGTCGGGTTTTGAGTCGCAGTGTTATTAACGGCCGTCGTGTTTTCGTTTCCGACTCTCGACGGCACCAGCGCTTCGAAATGCGCGTGGGATCTGTCTGCTGCGGATCGCAGATGGGATGCGGGGCTTGAGCGGACAGCGGGAGATGCGGGGAGCGAGAAGAGAGCTGCGGAGGCCGCAGCGATAAGTGGAAAGGCGAGGAGGAGCGAAAGCATACGGCGCGAAAGGTGGGATTGGTGCAAAGCTGAGCGTTGCCGACTGGACCTGCGACGAGAAGCCATGGCGTCTGTAAAAGGCCGTTTCAATTTCAACGCAAGGGACTCCTTAGCGGGAGATTCGAGAATCTGGCGACGTCGGAACAGATGCTTGTGACGACGGTCGCGTCGGTCGTTCTCTCGCCGACGATGATCCAATGGCAGACCTGATTGCACCTAAATCTAAATTGCAAGCGACGGGTTCACTACCTGAGGACCTCCTGTTGAAGCTCTCAACTAGTAGTCACTGATTCCGATCTCTTTATCCTAGAGCGACGACCCTGAAATTCATAATGGTTATTCGACAGCACGAGGTTTGAGCGTAGCTCTCGTAAAGTTGCGACTAAGCGAAAGCGCAGGTGAAACAGCAGAGGTTCCTGAGGGCATGCGATTCGAAACTCCAGATGGCGAGAGAGGGGCGACGCGTGGGCACAGCTGCATCTGGTGGTGCTGTGGTTCTCACAAGAAGACCCATGGACACATGGACTCATGTGGTGTCCATCCAGCAGCAGCACCATCCAGCACATGGACACATGGCTATGCCTCATGCCTGTCGTAAGAAGAAAACGACCGAACTTTCTTTGCGCGGACTGCAGCAGGCACAGGCTAGGCTAAATTGTAAAGCACCAGACCAGAGTCTCCCGGGGTAGACTTCTGCAATCGATGCGTTCCCTCGCTCTGTCTTGAATCAAGAAATCTGAGTCGCCGTCGAAACCAAAAACGAAAATTTGTGGCAGAAGCTCTCTGCTGCATGCGGCTCGTTCGCTGAATTTCAAAGTTGCGCTTCGCACAATATTCGATGGAGGGCCCGGATGGGTTCTCCATTTGCGCTTCGCGAGACGCGTTCTTTGCTGTCAGAAACGCAGCAGTGGCTTCTCAATTAGAAGGTCATCATACAAGCGGGTAATACACTACGTAGAAATAACCTATTCCGCTAGACTGCGATGGTTCGGATTACTTGGACAATGCTAGATAACATACCCTCATATTACCATGTGTGGCACCCACACAGAGCCTACGGTATCCACCTCTGTGCGAGAGCAATGGGCATCTCGGAACAACAAAGAGTATTAATAAGCAAGATCTTTAAGGGGCACAGTTGCATTGCATGCATGCATCACACTCAAGGCTTTGCAAACATTGCAGTACTAGAGAGACGTTTTTAGCACCAGCCACACATGCTTGCACTTCTATTTCGTAAATATGCCCGTGTTCACCAGTTGACATGTGCACAGCCAATCTCCGTGCAGCTACAGGGCTTACCAACACTAGGATACAAGTCGGAACGACTCAGGAAGGATGCAGGAAGGAAGACGGTGGGCAGGGTTTTTGAGTCGACTCAAAAGTCAAGAGTCACAGTCCTCGTCATTCGAGGACGCAGGAGGGAAGACGGTGGGGAGGGTTCGAATGAGGAGCTCGAATGAGGTGAAGGTGATGACTGCAGCGGGTGTGGTTCTAAAGAGGTTTGTCACACAACCCCGATAGAACCCGCGAATGCCTTCCTCCTTGAATATCTGAACAGTAAGGCAATTGGCAAAAACAGGGGTTAAAAAAGAGAGGAGATGATTTAAGCCTGTTACAAATCTGGATCTCCAAATTGCTCCGATAAAATCCAAGAATGCCTTCCTCCTTGAATACGCAAAATAGCAACAATTAGTAAGTAATAAATCAGGAGGAGAGGACTGGGGACTTTGGGGAAGCGAATAGCAGAACACAAGGGGTAAACAGGAGATATGCGTAATCTGGTGCAGCTGAAGACAGGCAGATGACATGAAGCCAGATGACATGAAGCCAGATGACATGAAGCCAGCTGACGTGAAGCCAGATGACATGAAGCCAGATGACATGAAGCCAGATGACATGAAGCCAGCTGACATGAAGCCAGATGACATGAAGCCAGATGACACGAAGCCAGATGACATGAAGCCAGATGACATGAAGCCAGCTGACATGAAGCCAGATGACATGAAGCCAGATGACATGAAGCCAGCATAAACAAATATACTTACAGGCTCGAGGTACACTCACCCGCGTTATACAGTCCCCCACGCCTGTGTAACGGTGTGCATTTCCTAAGTCCTTCCCCTGCTCTTGAAGCCGTGCTCTCACCACCTGAGAGGCGTGGAAAGGGAAGGAGAGAGAGAGAAATTTATAGTTGAGACGCCTAAACACACACACACACACACACACACACACACACACACACACACACACACACACACACACACACACACACACACACACACACACACACACACACACACACACACATGCGTGGGCACGCATGCACATACATGATTGTTGCGGCGAATCTTTTGAAGTTTGCAACACACGATGCAGCTAACGACGGGGGTGTCTGATCTGAACTTACCTCATGCGGATAAGTGAGTGTTGAGGCAAAGACTTTTGAGATGGCAGAGGTTGCTGCTAGCTGGGGGCCCTTAGCCTTCCTTACTACCTTATAGCTTGGAAATTGCATTGCACCACAGGATAGGCCTGGCTGGGGGCTTACCTCGTGGGGGTATGTGAGTGTTGAGGCAAAGACTTTGGAAATGGCAGAGGCTGCTGCTAGCTGGGGGGCCGTTAGGGTGTCTGTGGTTGACCCTTCTGCTCCGCGAGATGGGAAGTGGGATGGGGAGGGAGGGAGGGAGGAAGGGGAGGTGAGATGACTGAAAAGGAAATGGCAGAGGCTGCTGCTAGCTGGAAGGCCGTTAGGGTGTCTGTGGTTGACCCTTCTGCTCTGCGAGACGGGAAGTGGGATTGGGAAGGATAGGGAGGGAGTAAGGAGAGTTAGGGAGGGAGGGGGGAGAGATAGCGAGGGGATGAGGAGCGATAGGGAGGTAGGGAAGGAGGAAAGGGAAGAGAAAGCGCGACGCAGGTTCAACAGGAAAGCTCTTACCTCTTACCCCAACGTATCTTTATCCCTTCCCCAACAGAGCCATCATGCCAACACACATGGATCCTCTCACCTCTACACGCCATCTGCTGCTTGATATACTCGTACATGGGGAACTGGATGGCCACGTGGCTTATGCCTGCTAGTGCACTGCGCCTAGTGCCCGCCTTTAACCTCAACACACAACCCCTACCAAAGGGAACACACACCCCATGAGCTCACCTCGACACGTCATTGGCTGCTTGATATACTCGTACATGGGGAACTGGATGGCCACGTGGCTGATACCTGCTAGTGCACTGCGCCTAGTGCCCGCCTTTAACCTCAACACACAACCCCTACCAAAGGGAACACACACCCCATGAGCTCACCTCGACACGCCATCTGCTGCTTGATATACTCGTACATGGGGAACTGGATGGCCACGTGGCTGATACCTGCTAGTGCACTGCGCCTAGTGCCCGCCTTTAACCTCAACACACAACCCCTACCAAAGGGAACACACACCCCATGAGCTCACCTCGACACGCCATCTGCTGCTTGATATACTCGTACATGGGGAACTGGATGGCCACGTGGCTGATACCTGCTAGTGCACTGCGCCTAGTGCCCGCCTTTAACCTCAACACACAACCCCTACCAAAGGGAACACACACCCCATGAGCTCACCTCGACACGCCATCTGCTGCTTGATATACTCGTACATGGGGAACTGGATGGCCACGTGGCTGATACCTGCTAGTGCACTGCGCCTAGTGCCCGCCTTTAACCTCAACACACAACCCCTACCAAAGGGAACACACACCCCATGAGCTCACCTCGACACGCCATCTGCTGCTTGATATACTCGTACATGGGGAACTGGATGGCCACGTGGCTTATGCCTGCCAGTGCCGGCACCACCCCACTGCTCACATCACACGCACCAACCAAGCAGAGCAGAGCGAGAGAGGGAGAGAGAGAGAGGATTGAAGTCCGCTCAAGTCCAGCTCCTCTCAAGAGGAGGGTGGAAACATGTCCATCTCCTCTGAAGAGGAGGGTGAAAACATGTCCACCTCCTCTCTCCCTGCCCCTCCTCCCCCTCCCCCTCCTCCTCTCCTCTCCCTGCCCCTCCTTCCTGCCCCTCCCCCTCTCCCCTTCCCTGTCCCTCCCTTCATCTGTACAGCCCTCCCAGCCCTTCCCCTCTCCCTCCTCTTCTCCCTCCGTCTCACCTGTACAACCCCCCCAGCCCTTCCTCTCTGGTGATCCGCACAAGGGCGGAAAAAGCTCACTCATACGCATCACGTCTCTCTCCATCCCCATGCACCTTCCTCACTCTCCCTCTTTCAAACTCCCCCCCATCTCACCTGTACAGCCCCCCCAGCCCTTCCTCTCTGGTGATCCGCACAAGGGCGGAAAACGTTCCCTTGTAGGGCCGCCTGTTGGTCCGCATGGCTTGAGTCTGGTGATTGATGGAGGGGAGAGGGGAGGGGGAAGAGGGAAAGAGGGGGTTGAGTGGGTAGGGAGATGGGCAGTGGGATGGGAGGAACGGGTTTACATTTCCCCAGCCCTTCCTCTCTTTTGAAATTTCTCAAAAGTGTTCCCCCAGCCCTTCCTCTCTTTTGAAAATTCTCAAAAGTGTTCCCCCAGCCCTTCCTCTCTTTTG